CACACTGTGCTCTTCGAAAATAAACTTGCTTTCTTTCCACACCTTCCAGAAACATAGCCCCAAAAGTATAATTCTTTATACTTACTCATATAAACACTATTTCTTGAACTCCAAAATATGGTTTCAAGTCTGAAGGATTAAAGTAATTAGAAACATATCAGAGCTAAAGTACACCCCCTTCCTAACTTATGAAATATATCAATATAGATATAGTTACAACCTTAGTCTAGTACATGGTTATCTCTCTAAATCCCCAAAGCCAGCATAGTTCTACAATCAAAAATAGTGTTTACTACTGTAGAGTATAAACTAGTACTAACTTTATGTAATACCTATCACAAATTATAAATCCATAAACTTGAAGACCAAGCAATTATACTTCTAGGCATTTACACAGCTAAATCACATGTACAACAGCGCAAAGATATGGACAAGAATGTTAGTAAATCATTTTAAATTAAAGCAAAAACTTTTGAAGGAAATAAAATGTCTATCAATAAGGGATTTGTTAAATGTATTAGGAACTTCCACATGACAGAAAAGCTCTCAAACACTACAAGAATAGTGTAAGAATCTCAAAAGATGGATGCCAAATATTACTGAGGCATATTTATGTAAACATACTAATATATGTTTATACACCCTTAGATGAGGAGTAGGACTGGAGCAGGCAGGCCTGCAGGGGAGGGGGGAATTCCTTCACTTTGTGCTTTTAACTTTCCCTAAATTCGGGGCATTTTTACAATAAGAACAATATTATGTAATTTTATAAACTGAATATTAAGATATTTCCTGTTTGGAAACAACAGACAGTACCAGTGCCAGACTCACTTTCTATGCCATTTGCTTACAAAGGGCACCAGCAGACAGTTTCCCCGGAAGCTACCAAGAAAAGCTCCTTGCTACCCTAGCTCATTTAAGGCAAAACTCTGAAATACTTCCTTTTCATGCAACTTACTCCAAGCTGTCCCTATATCACAACTGTGCTTACCAGGTCAATCTCTGACATGTTGTACCCCAATCCCTAGCTGCTGTCTTATCATACAGCCAATGATTGATGCCCACACCTAGTCTGATACCTTCCTTTACCCCCTCGCCCCCCCACTCTTCCTCCTCCTTCTTCAGTCTGCGGTATTATTTTCAGTCTACAATTCCCACGCTCTTTTGCCATCACAAACTCTCCCACCCCTTGATCACTAGATATATAAACCAAATTCAGTCAGTGAATGAGGAAAGGGCACTTTGTTCCCTGGCTTAGTTACAGAATTTTGGAAATAAATTAAATATGAAAAACATACATTCATCTTCTAAATGCTTTCAATCCTACGGATGAGTTATACATTGAAATGAACTATAAAAATGACAAAGGAAAGAGTATGATGGTTTACCACTGCACGTCCCACACTGCCTACAATAGAAAAGCTCATGGCTAATAAGCATTCTCAAAGTTCACATTGCTATTGCAGAAAACAAAGAAATAAAAACAAATGTTCATTTTAAATAAAAATTTTAAATAAATAGAGATAAAAAATAACATATTTTTTCCAAGATCAATATAAACACATCATTCTAAAATTACCATGGCTTTGCTTTGGTTTGAAATTTCAAATAATGCTAAAGACATGGAATTTTTATGTTTATCAAAAGAGGACAGGCATTTAAAAAATGAAAAACACTTTCTTAAAATGAGGTAACTCCATTAATATTCCAGAGAAGTACACCTCTATTCAGCACTTCAATTACTGGGAAAGAAAGGAGACATGGCATAAAATTAAGATTTGCTTTTTATAGTGAGCCTGAATTCTAAAGCCCAGATGAGAGAAATATTATACCAGCTTTGTCTGTTAAAGATGGAGCTTCATGTAGGTTTATTTAAAACTTATTTTAAAAACTGAATTCCCTTAGAGAGCTACACAAAAGAACACTATGTGATACTAACACCTAATTATAGGATGGAAACCTGAACCCATCAACAGCCAATAGAGAGAGAATTTCCATCTCTCCCTCAAGTTGTTTTAAAAAAGACTTTTTTAAAATATAAAAGGTTTCTAAGCTTGCTTTATAAAAGGAAAAGCAGTTTTCTTTTGTTAAAATAAAAAGGACAAGAAATTAAGAGACAGTGTTCTGAACATTTTGGTTACAGAGTACAATGAAATCTATTTCACAGAAGGTGGTAGTAACTAAGGAGTATATTCCCCTATTCTTCCCACACATAATAATTAAAGATTCATACAGAATTTCAAATTATCTTAACACTTCATAATACAAAGTCTGATGTAACCACGTATATTTCATGTGAGATTTACAGGATTGACCAGGAAACTGTTATCAAAATCACATCATCCACACATTTAAATACAGGTCTCTGCAGCATATTTTATAAGTTCCGGGCTTCTGACTGGTAGCGCTGGAAATTTCTGAGTATTTTAAAAAAAGGGGAGGGTTGGGACTTCCCTGGTGGTGCAGTGGTTAAGAATCCACCTGCCAATAAAGGGGACACGGGTTCGATCCCTGGTCCACGAAGATCCCACATGCCATGGAGCAACTAAGCCCGCGTGCCACAACTACTGAGCCTGCACTCTAGGGCCCACATGCTGCAACTACTGAGCCCATGTGCTGCAACTACTGAAGCCCACGTGCCTAGAGCCCGTGCTCCACAACAAGAGAAGCCACAATGAGACGCCTGCACGCCAGAACAAAGAGTAGCCCCCACTAGCTGCAACTAAAGAAAGCCCGCACACAGCAATGAAGACCCAACGTGGCCAAAAAATAATAAATAATAAAAGGGTTATTTTCATTTACTTACGTGTACTTGTTTGTTCTAGGTAACCCTGAAGACAATTATCAACAACAGCTCAAATGTCCTCTGCTCTGTGGTGATCTCCCCAATCTCCCAGGCAATTAATTCATTTCTCTTTTATGATCCCATAGCATTTTGTTCAAAATGTTATTATATTACAATATATTTTCTCTCTTTACATGTCTCTCCATGTTGAGATATCTTTTAGGACAGAAATCATATCTTAATCAATTTTATATCTTCAGGACCCACAGTAGGAACTCAGAAAGTACTTAGGGAATGAATAAATGAACGAGTGACTGAATGAATGAGAGAACTAACTATACAAATTACAAGCAGACTCTAAAAATAACAGGAGCTAAAAATAGAGCTATCATATGATCCTACAATCCCACTCCTGGGCATATACTGGGAGAAAAACATGGTCCGAAAGGATTCATGCACCCCAGTGTTCACTGCAGTGCTGTTTACAATAGCCAAGACATGGAAGCAACCTAAATAAATGTCCATCGATGAAAGAATGGATAAAGAAGATGTGGTACATATATACAATGGAATATTACTCAGCCATTAAAAAGAATGAAACTTGGAAAGAACTTTGCAGCAACATGGATGGACCTAGAGACTGTCATACTGAGTGAAGTAAGTCAGACAGAGAGAAATATCGTGTGTTATATCACTTATGTGTGGAATTTTTTTTAAAAAAGATAGAAATGAACTTATTTACAGAAGAGATACAGACTCACAGACTTTGTTGTATACCTGAAACTAACACCTGAAACTAACACAACATTGTTAATCAACTATACTCCAATATAAAATAAAAAGTTAAAGAAGCAAATAAATAAATAAATGGGGTTACTAATAAAGCATAAGTTATTCATGTTAGACAAATTTGAAGTCATGGCCTTAGAGAGTTCAAGTCTGCTAATAAAGAGTATAATTAGCTTTATATCATAAGAAAATCTGAAAATATATTTACCATTACCTCTGCTTAATTTATTTCCAGTGGTTGGCACATGTATGACAAATAAAGCCTTTATAAAATCTCAAAAACAAATAAAATAACATAAAATAAAATAAAAAAAATACTAAGAGGTCTAAAGAGTGACTGTCTTTCCAAATTCCACAGAGGGAGAGACTGGGAAGAAAAGGATTGCCCAAGGACCAAAGGTTTGGTAAAGATATGATTTTGTTGGTATTCTGAACACTTACATATACAACAAATTCAGTATTTCCACTGTTTACTGCCAGCTTTCACTCTTAAAGAAATAAGGTGCTTTCTATTCTCTGCAGGTTTGGGGCCGCCTTCATCTCACAAAATTGTTCGTAACACAAAGCAACTCTAAAATTTATTTTAGATGGATATTTTTCATTCTGTAAAGAATGCATCTCTTTGACATCTATATAAAGACTATATTTCAATTTGTCATTTTGGGTAGAAAAAATGTTGTCTTACCACAAAATAAGTAAGAGAAGAAATGATGGAAATTTATTTGAAATTTTAAATTAGTTGGTTAATGAATGAACAGTTTTCATTTCTCCTACCTCTCCTTCAAAATAATTTACATATAATCTCCTGAAAGAATGCAAAGTGAACAGGAGTAAAAATCTGGAGACTTGTAGTCCTTTCCCACACTAATCACTCAGTCTATGATGTGAGTAAATCACAGATTGCCATCTGCTCATCTATAATGGGGATTAGATGTAATCAGTGATTTTCAAATTGGACTACTCGAAGCCTGGGGGATTCTGTGATTTTGCGGGGAAGAGGTTAAAAGAACATGATTAAGAATTTGCAAAAAAAAAAGAATTTGCACTTCTTAAAAAGAGTTCAAAAAAAATCACTATATTATATGATTTATAAGCATCCTCTAATGTCCAAAATCTGATTATTCTATTTCTTTATGTTGTTAAAGACTGCTAACAGTCTCATATTTTAAATTGGAAAACTAAATGCCAAATGTATAGGTGTCCTTTAAAAATCAAATAATTTATGCAGAAGTCACCCAACTCTAATTCTAATAGTATCTTTTGGAAACAGTTGCCCATATTGTCATGTAACTACAAATGAAACATGGCCTCCCAGAGAGCAAAGACTAGGAATTATTTTTTCCTTGAGTAAGCGAGTCAATTATCACACTAATGTAATTTTTAATTTCATAAGCATTAAAAAGACATATTATTATTTTTAAAATACCTGTACTATAAATTGTAACTCTCTTCTTTCCGCTTCCCATTGTTCTGCTTGTAATCTAAACTCCTCCAATGCTGTCTCCCTGATATGAGACTCCATCTCATTCTTCTCCTGCTGATGTTTTTCCAACGCTTCCTTTACGTGAATAAAATCTTGTTTTAGTATTAGATCAATAAAAGTTATCTTTCTTCCTTCATCCACAATTTAAATATACATAGGGATCTCCTTACCTATACAGACTGTTAAAACTCATTATAATTTATGTTAAAATCATTAATTAGTAGAATAATTATATTTTGGTCATCAGAATGTATATGTGAATAAGAAGCTATGGTTACCCATTTAATTTAAGCAACATTTCATATATATAGATAGATAGATAGATATAGATAGATATAAATAGATATAGATATTTAACCCAATTTTTCCAAAAAATTTAACTGCTGGGGATTGAACAAAATGCATCATATAATAGAGACAAAACAAAGTAGATTGTTTGGCAAATATGTAATCTATATGTAAAGGAGATAATATGGAAAGCTCTAATTAGCTATAGAAACACTATTTGGATTATCCCTGATAATTTATATATAAATCTGACAAAGAACACTGTATTTACCAAAGGGGAGAAGGAGGAGTTTTGTGCAACAAATCAGTATAAGGAAACTCTAGAATGTTAAAAATTTGAAAAGTCAAAAAAATATTTTTAGGTTTAGACTATTAACTAATTTCTAGTTCTACAGATAAACAATATTTGCCGGAGGTTTTTCTTCTGGGGTTTTCCGAGTTGTACCACATTTACAAGATCTAATCTGGTTCAAAATCTCAGAAGTATAAAATGCAGGTTTCCCAAGAAGCCCAATCTTCTAAACTATAGGGTTTTAAACTAAGTCTGCATTAACACAAGGAGAAAGATTCTATGGTTTATATGAGACAGAGGGAAAGCCTCCTGTGTCCTTATAAACTGTAGCATCGTTCTACATAATAAAGACTGCCCTCCCAACTTTCACTAATGGAAAGCCAACAGGAGGAGACTTGAGGTTTTTTCCCCTTAGGGCAAAAGAGTGACTCCTCTTCACCCCCAAAGGTCTCTGTGCAGATTAGTTCAAAGCCAATTGTATAAAATCAAAGCAAAGTTCTCCTACCAAATAGGTGATGAAGATCACATCAAGATCTATAAAAGAGATCTTGAGATGCAGGCTGATTGACTATAAGGATTGCTGCCACCATTACCCTCTTTCCCCATAGCTCTAGACATTTCATGTGGAGAAGTTTATACAAAGCAGTTCAGGGACTTGTAGTTCCGGGTGCCACCTAAACTCCCCCCATTCAAATACTAATGGAGCCCTTGTATATGCCAGGCACTGTTCCAGGGTCTAGGAATATTACAATAAAGAGAAGAGAAAACTGTGACTGTTGACATGCAGGAAATCAAAAGGAGATATGCTGACAAGGTCAGGGAACCTTTGTGCTGAAACTTTTACATTTAACAAATGCTTCTGTAAAATTATTTTTAGTGAAGATTTATTTCCAATATTCTGAAAAGCCATTCACCAGTGGTAAATGTAGAGCATTTTTATCATGTAATTTTTTTTTTTTTAATTTATTTTTGGCTGAGTTGGGTCTTTGTTGCTGCACACAGGCTCTCTCTAGTTGCAGCGAGCGGGGGCTACTCTTAGTTGTGGTGCGTGGGCTTCTCACTGCGGTGGCTTCTCTTATTGCGGAGCACGGGCTCTAGGCGCAGCACAGGCTTCAGTAGTTGTGGCTCACAGGCTCTAGAGCACAGTCTCAGTAGTTGTGGCACACGGGCTTAGTTGCTCCACAGCATGGGGGATCTTCCTGGACCAGGGCTCGAACCTGTGTCCCCTGCATTGGCAGGCAGATTCTTGACCACTGCACCACCAGGGAAGCCCTATCATGTATTTTTAAATTTAAATTGGTACTTCCAAAAAGTGGCAAATACAGACAATTCAAAATCTGTCTTTTAAGTGGGTGGCAACTTCAACATTAAACCATACTTTTACTTTAGAGACTAAAAAGGAACAAAAAATGGGAGAATAAATAACTCATAATAATTTCAATAAAAGGTCATCAAATATTTATATACCGTGCCTATATAGAATGTACCCTACACAGATAATGAAGTTTACATCAGATACATAAAAATTTTTCTATATTTATTGCATATTCAGGTCAAAATCTGGGGTCCACGTTTTTAAAATTACAAATTTTCATGTTGCTGGACCAAAAGGGTTGTGGGTTCTTATCTTCTTACAGTATTCCCATATAAGTGAGTTGGTTTCTTTTTTTGATCAGAGATCTCAAACTGTTTTTCACAAAAGAAACAATATATATATTAATATACTGCTAAAGCATATAAAAAATAGACCTGCAAAAATGCCCCTAAAAAGGAAAGAAGAGAGGGAGAAAGGAAGGGAGTTGGGGGGGGGGGGCGGTGGGGAAGAAATTAGATTTTCTTGCTTTCTGGTATTTTCCTTTCCAAAAATAACTTCAAATAATGTATAATACATATAATGAATATTAAATATAGAAAAATTCCTTCATAAAATATTTTACCTGTACAGTTTTCTCTAGTCTGCTGTTTTCTTTCATAAGTAAATCATATTTTTGATCACAGTTTTGAATTATATTGTCTCTTTCCTCCAAATCACATTCAAATCTTCTGCATTCTTCTTTCCATTTCTGCTGGGAAGTCTGGAATGCTTTCTCCATCCCACTTGCCTTTCCCTGAAGTTCTGCATTCTGAGCTATTAAAAATATAAAAGAATAATAGGTACATTTACAACCATAAATTAAAACCGTAGGAGTTCAGAAACCTAGGCATTGGAGCTGATTTCAATTACAGCATGATATTAAGACAAAACATTTAACCACTTCATACCAGTGAACTCTTGAAAAGTTCCTGTCCCAAAACCAATCTATTCTACAATTTCTCAATCTCTTCTTCCCCTCCAGACAGAGGTGATTTTGCTGTGAAATGGTTATGACATATTCCTAGAGGCACGCCCAAGTTTAGATGCACCAGCTGCAACTCAATGCTTTTTCTCCTATTCAAGAAAATAAAATTTTTTTAAGTGTGACATATAATAGGGCTACTTTTTTAAAAGACTTGATAGATTACAAATTTTGATTTTTGACTTGGCAACTAGTTAGTTGTGGCATATCTTACACTTGATACTGTCACAAAATTGAGGTTGGGAACCCTAGAACTATAGCTCTTTACTCCCCCAAAGTTAGGCTCGATTCACCTCTCATCCTAGTATTACCTCAACAATAACCATCACTTCCCAACTCACTATGGCTGCTGTTTGCCTCAGCACCTAGAAAGAAGTGATGAAAGGCTACTAGGTCTGGCTCCATCACCTATCACCTGATTAAACCTCCCTGACTCTCTAACCCTCAGTGGGAATAAAGTTGTTGTAAAGATAAAAATGAGGAAATATGTACAAACGTACTTGTTAAACAAACCAAAAAAAAAAAAAGCCAGTTAGTAGTATTATTTTTAAATTATATTTGTGTTTTGAATGGATCGTATGTTCAAAATACAAGTTATTATCAAAGGTACAAAAAGTCTCCCTCCCATCCAGTTACTCTCTCTACAAGACATTATTGTATGGTTTAGTATCCTGTATTGCCGGTAAAAAGTTTGAGGCCATTTTGATTCCTGTTCCTTTGCATCTGGCTTATTTTTCTTTCCTTTCCTTTTCTTTTCTCTTCGAAAGCTTTAGGATCTTTTTTTGGTCTCTATTTTTCTGGAATTTCATAATGCTATGCCTTCACATGGGTCTATTTTTTTCCACTGTGGTGAATATTCTGTGGACCCTTTCAATCTGGCAACTCATATCCTTCAGCTCTGAGATTTTTTTTAAGTAATTTCATTGATCATTTATCCCTCTCTGTTTTCTCTCTTATCTCTTTCTTTCAATATTACCTATTATTCAGATTGGCCCTCAAAGTTTCTTGCCTTTTCTCTCCTATTTTTCCACCTTTGCCTTTTTAAATCTAATTTTGGGATATTTCTTCCATCTTCATCTTCCAATGCTTCTACTGATATTTTTCATTTCTGATTTCACATTTTGTTTTACATCTTTATTGGAGTATAATTGCTTTACAATGGTGTGTTAGTTTCTGCTTTATAACAAAGTGAATCAGTTATACACATACATACGTTCCCATATCTCTTCCCTCTTGCGTCTCCGTCCCTCCCACCCTCCCTATCCCACCCTTCTAGGTGGTCACAAAGCACCGAGCTGATCTCCCTGTGCTATGTGGCTGCTTCCCACTAGCTATCTATTTTACGTTTGGTAGTGTATATATGTCCATGCCACTCTCCCACTTTGTCACAGCTTACCCTTCCCCCTCCCCATATCCTCAAGTCCATTCTCTAGTAGGTCTGTGTCTTTATTCCTATCTTATCCCTAGGTTCTTCATGACATTTTTATTTCTTAAATTCCATATATATGTGTTAGCATACGGTATTTGTCTTTCTCTTTCTGACTTACTTCACACTGTATGACAGACTCTAGGTCCATCCACCTCATTACAAATAGCTCAATTTCGTTTCTTTTTATGGCTGAGCAATATTCCATTGTATATATGTGCCACATCTTCTTATTCCATTCATCCGATGATGGACACTTAGGTTGTTTCCAAAAATATGGAACGCTTCACAAATTTGCGTATCATACTTGCGCAGGGGCCATGCTAATCTTCTCTGTATCGTTCCAATTTTAGTATATGTGCTGCCGAAGTGAGCACCTGATTTCACATTTTTAATTTCTAAGAGCTTTCTTTTTTTTATACCACCTGGTTCTTGCATCATGGATGGAATATATTCTTTTTCAGCTCTGAGGATATTAATAATGCTTATTTGTAAATCTTCTCCTTGCAGAGTTTCTGATTCTTCCAAATTATTTTTTTCTCTCCATTTTAGAGGCTTTCCACAAGTATCTGCTAATTCTTGGCTGCCTGCTCCCAATTAAGTGTAACTATAAGGGTGACATACCTTTTATACATCCACATAACCACTACCTAGATTCTGAGCTTCAGGATGAAACTTGATAACTGTGGTCTGATAAAAGTAGGCCATTTATTAGGAAATCCCCAACATCAGCATCATTAGGGTTTTCCTCTTGGCTTGGTCAGATGACCCATGGAAGAGTTTTCCAAGCTCCCACATGAAGTGTAGAAATCTCAGTGCTAGCTTTTGGGAAACTCAATAGAAAAAAGGAAGCTGGAAGGAATAGTTCCTCAATATTTAACATTGAGTATGTTATCTTCCTGTTTTTGCCAGTCTGAAGACCCTGTATTTTATCATCTCCAGATATTAAGCCCCCCAAATTACACTAGGAAGTGGGAGCAATCCCAGAATATCATACTCTTGGGAAGGGGATCTAAGAACCTAAGTGCCTCTAGAGCAAACAGATTTCATCTAACCCTCTTTATTTTACTTCTGCTATTCCAATTCCTAATTCCAAAGGTAGCTGGTGCTTCCAGTTCATAAGCCTTTGATTATCTAGCAAGTTGTGTGCCAGCTTTCCCAACCCCTGGCTTAGGATTCTGACGTCTCAGGTCTGCTAAGTCAGTTATCCCTCATCCATTCATTTTCCAGCTTCGAAAATTTTCTCTCTTATCTTGTCTCCTCTCTCAATCATTATGAGATTATCTCTTTTAATATCCCATAACTCCATCAGGTTGTTTTTTATTCTACCCTCAATATTTTATCATATATATAAAGTTTAAAGTATTGTAAAACGAACACCTGTAAACCCCAGACTAGACTCTATGATTGTTAACATTTTGCCATATGTATTTTCTTTACCACACATTCATCCATATATCCATGCATCCACTCATTTTTTTCATCCATCAGACCATACTTTTTTATGCATTTCAAAACAAGTTGCAAATAAAAGTACATTTCACTGCTGAATAATTAAGCATTCATATCAATAATATAGAATTCAATTTTTTTTTGCAGGTAAAATTTACATATAGTGAAATGGACAAATCTTAAGTGCTCCATTCAAAGAGACTTGACAAATGCATACACTCATGTAACCAAAACCCCTATCAAAATACAGAAAATTTCCTTCAATCGAAACGTTTCCCCCTACTTTTCCTAGTTAGTCCTCACTGCCAACCCATCCTAGAGGTAACCGCTGTTCTGATTTTTTTTTACCAACGACTAGTTTTTTCTGTCCTAGAATTTCATATAATGGAATCATACAGGAAGTCCTCTTCTGTGTAAAGTTTCACTCAGCATAATGTTTTTGAGATTCACTCATGTTATTGAATGTATCAGTAGTTGATTCATTTTTATTGCTTAGTAATATTTCATTGAGTGAATATACAAAAATTGTTTCTTCATTCTTCTGTCAATGGACATTTGGGGTTTTTCTCCAATTTGGGGCTGCCATGAATAGAGCTGCTATGAAATTCTTATACAAGTCTTTTGTGGACAAATGTTTCTCAGAGAAACTACCAAAGAGTGAAACTTCTGGGTCACTGGATAAATATATGTTTATTTTAAAAGAAATTGCCAAGTTTTTTTCCAAAGTAGTTGTACCATTTCACTTTCTCACTAAAAAAGTATAAGAGTTCCAGTTCCTCTACATCCTAACTAACATTTGGTATTGACAGTCCTTTCAATGAGAGCCATCAGATGGGTATGCAGTGACAGTCACTGTGGTTTTAGTTTGCATTTCTCTGATGACAAATGAAGGTAAGCATTTTTCATGTGATTAACGGCCATTCTTCTATATTCCTCTGTAAAGTGTCTTGAAATCATTTGACTTTGGGCAAGTAACTTCCCATCTTCCCTGGACTTCAACTTCCTCATAATTAAATAAAAGTCATTAACTTGTACATCTAGTGCCTTTCAAGTCTTATAATCCTAAGTTCCAGATAGTAGTTTAGTAATTAAATGCCAAAGGTAATCAAAAGTATTTTTGACCAATGGCCAGGCCAAGACTAGGGATCGTAACCTTTATAATATTATAACGTGACATTCGCTTGGCCCCATGCAGTTAACAAAGCACTTTTATTTTCTCATTTCATCCTTAAAACAACCTAGGTTCAAGTATCAGTAAGTGGCAGAATCAGGACCTAAATCTAAATCTTCAGAATTCACGTTCAGTGTTCTCTTCATTAAAACCTGCTGAGTATAAGAATGTTCAGGGCAACACTATTCTTAATAAACAAAAACCAGACACTACCCACTACCAATAGAAATGGATGAATATTAAGTGTGGTATGTTCACACTATATAATACTAAACATCAATATGAAGTTCATATGACAATAGGAATGAACTCACAAGCACAAAGTTGAAGAAAAGAAGCCAGATACAAAAGAGTACATACTATATGATTCCTTTCATATAAAGTACGAAAAAGAGGCAAAATTAATTATTGCTATTAAAAATCAGGATAGCAGTTATCTATGTGGAGGACTTCTGGTAATTTTCCATTTCATGACCCAGGTGCTGGTTATAAGTCATACACTTATCTACGCACACTTCTTTATATATATTATACTCTGTGGTTCCTAAACCTAGCTAATCAACAAATCACCTGCAGTGCTTCTTGAACATACAGATTTTCTCAAGCTAGAGATTCTGTTTCAGATTACATGTGATAGGAGGCCTATGAATTTTTTTAAAATCTCTATATGATTCTGCTGATTATTCATGAAACAAGTGCTCTAAAAAGTGATTAACAGAATTTTGAAACCATTTTTCTATACTTGTACAAAAAAAATAATGTAAGGTAAAGTAAATGAATGTTCACATAATTGCCAGAAGACATACACACATAGCAAAGTCTGTCCATCAAAGGCCAGTCAAAGAAATCAAAACCCTACCTCTGACCCTATATGGAATGCATACACAACAGGGAGCAACGATGTACAATGACGTTACAAACAGGGAGAGAAATAGAAATAGTTTTACCACAGAGTTTTTCTTGGATCCTATGTGCCTCAGCTAATCTTTCTTCAGCAGCCCGCCTTCCGAGTCCAGCTTCCTTTCTAGCAACAGCCAGGTCATATTCCAGACTTTGTCGCAATGCCTCTCCTTTTTCAACCTCGGATCGTAGCTTGGCAATCTGGCTCTCGTAGCTTGCCAGCTAAAAACAGACTTCTGATATCATGAACCAATATAAAAATATGTCTCCAAGATTATGAGATCATGCACCCAAACAATTTTCTTAGAGAAATTTGTTTCTATAATATTTATAAGACAAGAATTTACACATTTATACTTTCTAAAAGACTGGAAAAGAAGCACTAGCCTTACTCAGCAAATAACATTCATTAATTTTCTTATTTTAGAGAATCCACTAGAGAAAAAATTTTTTTAATTCTTATATGCACTTCTTATTAAAAGTAAAGAGAAATCACAGGTTTTAATCAGAAAAAGTCATACCTAAGAAGTGAAAAAAATGCATGACATATAGTAAGAACTTAAAAATTCATTCTCGGGCTTCCCTCGTGGCGCAGTGGTTGAGAGTCCGCCTGCCGAGGCAGGGGACATGGGTACGTGCTCCGGTCCGGAAAGATCCCACATGCCGCGGAGCGGCTGGGCCCGTGGGCCATAGCCACTGAGCCTGCGCGTCCGGACCCTGTGTTCCGCAACGGGAGAGGCCACAACACTGAGAGGCCCGCATACCGGAAAAAAAAAAAAAAAAAATTCATTCTCTCCTCTACTCCTGAACCCTAACTGAAATCAAGAAGCAAATGGTGGACTTCCCTGGCAGTCCAGTGGTTAAGGCTCCGCACTCCCAATGCAGGGGGCACTTCGAACCCTGGTCAGGGAGCTAATGTCCCACATGCCGCACAGTGTGGCCAAAAAAATAAAATAAAATAAATAAAATAAAATGCCTTAAAAAAAGCAGCAAATAGTATCAAAATTTGGTAAATATTGTCTATATTATTTCTCTGGATTATGACATTACTCACAGAGCATAAAGTAATAAAAGTGCCTGTTTTACAGGGATTTTAATGAACGAATATCTAATTTATCTACTATTTAGATAACCAGATAGTTAATAACTAGATTTAATTCATCTAATATCCTTCCATGAAGTAGTGTGACAGGAGACAGGTCAGAGAGTTAGAACCAGATGATTTATAAAGTCCCTTCCCACTCTGAAATTCTATGATCTAATCAATGATTCATTAAATGATATTAAATACTTGCTACATGTCAAGTACAGTGAAAGATATAAAAACAAACATTATAGAGCCCCTGATCTCAAGTAATGAAATGCTATAGAAAGTCATAAGGGATTAGTTTCACAAAAGAGGTAAAAATGTTATGATAGTTCAAAGAAAAGCAAAATTACTTCTTGCTGGAGGGAGAGAAAGAAATGATGGATGAGAGAGAATGCTAGGAAGGTATCATACGGGAAAGCATCAAGCTACTGTATCAGGCTAGAAATAGATGGTCCAATTACCATATAAGAAAAGACAAAAAGGATTTCTAAAGGGCAACATCAGAAATTACCATAAGTAGCAGTTAATATGTAGAGTGCAGCAGGAGTTACACTCTTTTTAACATATATAAAAAAAATAATTTCCATTTTTATAAATGTTAGAAAAGTAAGTGTCTTCAGCACACTTATACTCACAAAATAAGAATTTACAAATATCTTTTAATAAGTTAATGGAAAAAAACATAAAACCTTTATTACATCTTCAAGATAACTCCGTTTATTTCAGAATCACGCCATCCCTCCCTGCCCAGGAATAAAGTTGTTAACATTTGGGCATTCCCAGTTGTGCCAGTCATTTACCTGTTTGCCCTCAGACACCCCCTCCCCCATCCTTCTCCAGTTCTACTCCATATTCTAGGAACTACATGTGCCAGACTTCCCTGCCCACTGGCTTCTTGGGAGTTTGGATCAATGAGAGGCACTTGTGGTATATGTGAGGACAGGAAAGGAGAAGCCAGGGTATTTGTCCCTCTCTAGATCTACCCTGAGCAGCATCTGTCTTCCCTGTGGCTGCAAATCCTTCTGGATAGCTAGCTTTTTTCAACCTTCGGAATGAAAGTAACTTCCTAATGTTGCTACCCTCTGGGTTGCCTTAACATCCCCTATTTGTCTTTTTACCTCTTCTGGTACTTGTGTAATCAATTCCACTTGGACACCAAATGATATTACTCTTGGTATCAGAAATAGCCTCAAGATGGGTTTCTGATATTTTGTAGTAAACCTATATGAGCCTAAATACAATGAAGACCTTTTTGCAGGTAGAAATGAGATACTTTTGCAGTGATCCATGGCCTCCAGTGGGATCACAATTATTTACATTATCATGTGCAATTGTTTAAAATAAAGTGCCAGTTGAGTTCAAGCCTTTGGGAAATGAAGTAGCAACTGCACTTGACCAACATGGCAGTTTTGTTTACTACAAGACCCATGGCATGGGAAGGCTAAATCTAACTATGCTAGAGAATTTACAAAAATGAAAAGGTAATCCCAGGGTTCTAGAATCTCAGCTCAAGACAGTCAGAAAGCCAGAGAGTTTCTACGTTGACTTTAAAGAATCTCTTATTTCTCATAGCCCCATGGCAGACAAGGCTAAAGACCAGATGGAAAATCTAATTATGAGGAATGCAGAATTAAAATACAAGTTGAATAAAGAACCTCAACAAGTTTCTAATGTTAAGATGGTATATATCAGCTGGGCATTAGGTAGAAAGGAAGGAGATGGATGAGGACTTTTGGAATTAGACAATCCTGAAAACTGGAATTGGAATTAGACAATCCTGAAAACTGCAAACTTCCAATCTCCTCTGAACACCCCTACTCCCAACAACAGCAGCCTCTTCTCCCTGTCTGAGCTACTTGACCTTCCCTTGCTTAAAGACTTAGTAAGGACCACAACTGAAATAGCTGTCTTGCAACAAGATGTGCAAGACCCACTTTCACCTCTTTGTCGCCATCGATAGACCCAGACCTCAGTAAGCCACAAGGGGAGAAATGCAGTCTTCTCTGGGAGAAGATAGTATCTATAGCAAAAGGACTGCAAAATTTTGCTAATCTTGTAATAGAAGGAACCCTATATAGGCTTGATTTGGATTTAATAAGCTAGATGTAACAGTTTGCTTGGAATGGGTGACTGTAAATTGAATTCAACATCAGCCTGCATTACTTAATAAAGTCAAATTGCCAGTACTTTCCTGATATAATATGCAAACTTAAGAAGATGGGAGTGGTGGCTTCCCTTGTGGTCCGGTGGCTAAGACTCTACACTCCCAATGCAAGGGGCCTGGGTTCAACCCCTGGTCAGGGAACTAGATCCCACATGCTGCAACTAAAAGAGCCCACATGCCGCAACTAAAAGAGCCCACATGCCACAACTAAAGATCCCGCATGGGGGTTTCCCTGGTGGCGCAGTGGTTAAGAATCCACCTGCCAATGCAAGGGACACGGGTTCGAGCCCTGGCCCAGGAAGATCCCACATGCCACAGAGCAACTAAGCCCATGAGCCACAACTACTGAGCCTGAGCTCTAGAGCCCACGAGCCACAACTACTGAGCCCACGTGCCACAACTACTGAAGCCTGCGTGCCTAGAGCCCGGCTCCGCAGCAAGAGAAGCCACGACAATGAGAAGCCCACGCACCACAACGAAGAGTAGCCCCTGCTCACCACAACTAGCGAAAGCCCGCACATAGCAATGAAGACCCAACACAGCCAAAAATAAAAATTAATTAATTAATTAATTAAAAAAAGATCTCGCATGCCGCAATGAAGATCCCCCACGCGGCAATGAAGATCCCGTGTGCCACAATTAAGACCCGGCGCAGCCAAATAAATAAATAAATACTTAAAAAATAAAAGAAAAGAAAAGAAGATGGGAGTGCTTTTTTTATGAGCAAACCAAAACCTCCCCTTTCGCCAATTGCATCCTCTTTGAGAGCCCAAAGGACATTATTTTCCTAATTAAAGTGCTCTAAAATACACTGGCCAGCAAAAGCACCCTTAGAAAGCTCTAGCGGCTAACCTCTATATACCAGAGATAATAGTAGATGGTAAAGATAATGGTGGGATATGTCATAATTGAGATGGACTCGCCAACCTCAATCAAAATGGTGAACTTCCAGAGCAGCAAAGGCCAAGTGGTAGCAATTAACCACTAGAGACAAGGTGAGCACAGTTTCTATAATGGACGGCTGGAGCACAACAGTAATCATAGCATTTGACCTCCAGGTATTTGTGGTGGTATCTAATTGATTCTCGTGTACCCGGGAATTAAAGAGATGGGCAGTCTTCTAAAGCGGTGCTATGCAGTAGATATATAATGCAAGAAATTTTAAATTTTGTGTAATTTTAAATTTTCTAGTAGCAATATTTTGAAAAGTAAAAATATGTGAAACTAATTTTAACATTTTACTTAACCCAATATATCCAAGATTCTTTATTTCAACATAAAATCAACATGAAAAATTATTAGTGAGCTATTTTACTTTTTTTAGATATTTTACACCTTTTTGTACCAAGTTTTTGAAATCCAGTGTGTATTTGTATCACATCTTAATTCAGACTAGTCACATTTCAAGTGCTCAAAAGATACATGTGGCTAATGGCCACCATATTGGAGAAGCGATTCTAAAGCATTATTTGGTCTAAACAACAACAAAAACAAACAAACCAAAAAAAACAAACTGATAAAAAAACAGAAAAACTCCAAGTCTGATGAGCAGAATCCTTACTTAAGTCTCTAAAATATGAAGTCATACCCTCCCATCAGTTCCCAGACTCCCTGACTCCTTGAGGCACCACCACAAGTACACACTGTAAACTTCCCCGAGCCTTTCCCAATGCGCAAGGTACAAGCTCTGAACTGGAGACTAGCATTTGCTATATCTCGCATACACAGATCCAGGAACTAAAGGATGGAAGTGGAAGTGGCCTCTCTCTATTAACATAGCCTCTAATAACCTTACCACCTACCAACCCACTCACCGGGTTCCCACCCACCCACCCAAACATGCAACTTTGGGCTTTGATATTTTAGAAGAGATCTTAATTTACAAAGGGTGAATACTTCCACCAGTTGACACAAAAATGATCCACATTGATACTGCAACATGGATTAACTTCGGAAACATTATGCCAA